TATATATTATATATATATAAATATATACTATATATAAATTTATACTATATATATTTATATATAGTATAAACTTTCTTAATCTCTAAAATGTGTTGGGAAATTCTCTGCATCAAGGAAAATAAGAAAGCATATTAAAAATCTTCCAGAGCATTCTGTTGAGTTTTACTGCCCCCTTCTGCTGCTTGAATTTTTATCAACTTCTTTCTTTATGATACTGTGAAGATTGCTAGATAGGTTTTGTGTCTGATGTTACAATGTTCATAAAAGTCTACATGTGCAGTGCTCATTTTAAATTTAACTCATGAATATACTGAAAAAGAATGAAATATTTGTTCATTGAAGTGATAAGCCATTTATATGAGTTAAAAGAAAATGAAAAATGAAGCTCTCAATACCCCAAATTCCAAATGAGCTAACATTTTTGAGAGAGACATTTCTTATCATTGAGTAGGGTTCTAGCACTCAGATATGCAAGAATGCTCTGATCCCACTCTCTCCGGCAAGGAGCTTCTTTCCATTTCCCTCCCTTCTACCTTAGTTGATTTAGTGATTCATTCAGAGGGAGTGGAGATTGCCCCATGTCTTTTCATTCATGGCTGCTGGCTAGAAGAAGAGTTTTGCCATCTTGCCTTAGGGTTATTTATTTTTTTTAATTTTTAAGTTTATTTATTCACTCTGAGAGAGAGAGAGAGAGCACAAGCAGGGGAGGTGCAGAGAGAGAGGGAGAGAGAATCCCAAGCAGGCTCTGCACTGTCATTGCAAAGCCCAATGTGGGGCTTTAGCTCACAAACCTTGAGATCATGACCTGAGCTGAAGTCAGATGCTTAACTGACTAAGCCACCCAGGCACCCATCATCAGGGTTATTTTTAAGAGATCTTTTAGCAAAGTTATACCACAGAGTATACAGAAATGCTACTTACAAAGGGCCTCTAGTTTAGTCCTTCAGTAAATCCTGGTTATGCACCCATTCCTGCCTATATAAGAGAAATTTCAAGGCTATAAAGCAGATTTTTTTAATTAAAAAAATTCTTATCAAATAAACCAATGAAGAAATACCAAATAATATCCATTTCTGAGTTTTATAAAAAGTTGATCTCCTTTCTTTTCTTTTTAAAAAACAATTTTTTTAACAATTTATTCATTTTTTGAGAGACAGAGAGTGAGTGGGGGAGGAGCAGAGAGAGAGAGACAGACAGAGAGAGACAAAGACAGAATCCAAAGCAGGCTCCAGGAAGGCTCTGAGCTGTCAGCACAGAGCCTGATGCGGGGCTCCAACCCACGGACGGGAGATCATGACCTGAGCTGAAGTCGGAAGCTTAACCGACTGAGCCACCCAGGTGACCCTCCTTTCTTTCAAACAACTCAAGTCTCTGATAGATTTGTCTTTTTCTTCACTGTTCATGGTTGCATGTCATAACTGCTCAGACGAGCCAAGGTAGATTGAACACAGTCCTGTTAGAGTTAGGAATCTCAAATGGGAATAAGGAAGTCCAGTAGAGTGTGAACAGGGTGAACAGGGTGAACAGGGAGAACACACTCACCAATTAAATATCAGATTTAGGACTTTCAGTTTCTGTTCCAGCATGTAAGCAGCTTGAAAGTTGCCACTTCATCCTAACAACAAATAAAAACCTGAACAAACTGGAAGTTCAATACTCTTATTAGATCTCTTAGGGTTGTGAGATGAAAGGATAAAATCCTGTCCCCAAAATTTGAGAGACAGGCCATCCAGGGAAGCACAACTTAGCAGAACAGAAACCAATGAGCAGAAACCTCCATGGAAACCAGTACTGGACTGGAAAACGCAAAGTGTAATTGACGAATTCTGGATGCTCCATGTGGATAAGTCTGAGTTAAAAACTCCAGGAGAAGGGGCACATGCTTTTGTGAGTTTCACTTCCTAAAGGTCTACCAGGTTCTCACAATGAATACCAGAAGAAGAAGAAAAAAAACAAAAACAAAAAACCCTTGAAAACTCTTGAGAGATTGACAGGGAAAAGGGAAAAGTAACCATTTTGAAATATGCCAGAGCATTCTGTTCTTTCCAATAGGGCCTGCATTCAAGAGAAACTATTTTAATAGAGCCTAAACTATTGGAATTTTTATCAGAGCAAAACTAACCTGGGGGGAAAGAAAATACCCAACTCCATCCCCCTCTTCCACACGTGACAGGGAATTACTCAACTCCAGCCCCTGTAGCCATCTGTCCCACCTAAAGTATGGGACTGGGGTACTAAAAGGCACTTGTGGCATTCACAGTTCAAGGGCATAGGCTCACTAAAAGACCAAGCCCTCCTCATAGGACTATAGAACCCTTCTCCTCCCTTCATACCTCACCACCACATTACTAAGGTCCTATATACTGTTAGGATGTCCTTGGAACCACAGTAGACGGGACGGCCATCTTGCCAGCGAAACCCAACGAAAAGCCCCTAGTAGCTGCCAGAACGAATTGGAGGTCAACCAATCACCAAGCGACAGCACCACCTGATGCGAAAAAAGGCCCACCCGGACCTAAACCCGGAACCACTGCAGCTTAAAAACCCCACCCCACCACGCCTGGGCACGACTTCCCTGACTCCTCTCTCTCTCTTTCTCCCTGAGTCACGGAACCTCGCCCGAGACCTTAGTTCCTGATAAAGCCTTTGACTGCTAAAATTTTTTAGCCTCTGACTCCTATCTTTACCCTGCCTTACGCCTGACCCTAACATTTGGTGCCGAAACCCAGGGGGAGGTAGTAGCTCACCTCCCTTGGCTGAGCTCCCTCCTCGCCAAGCCAGATGCCAACCACCCTACTCTCAAGCGCCTACAGGAGCCGGTAAGTAGGACAGACCCCTCCTTCCCTCCTCCAACTATGGCTGACACCCATGAGAGACGTCTCGCAAGTCAATCTTCTTTCCTCCGAACGCCGAAAGGCCCACATGCCGAAAGGCCTGCACACCAATAGGCTCCTTGTTGCACCTCGAGGGACGCCTCATCCTGCCACACCAATGGGGAGTAACGAGTGTAAACCACCTTGATCTCTTACCCGCCTCCAATGTCTGTTAAAAAACTTCCGGCTCCTGGGCTTACAAGGCGAACTTCGTTGTACCCGACTCATCCGCCTTTGCACTGTAGTCTGGCCTCAGTACAAATTAGATAATGATTCTCAGTGGCCACCCAAGGGGTCTTTACAATACCAAATCTTAACCGATCTGGACAATTTCTGCCATCGGCTGGGAAAATGGGGAGAAATACCCTACGTCATGGCCTTTTGGGACCTCAGGTCTCG